ATCCTTGAATGCTATGAGAGTAGTGTGGTGTTGTCATGCATGCAGAGCAAGTCTCAAGCATGCATGTGACCTGGAAATGCATGCAGAGCAAGTGTCAAGCATGCATGTGAGGCGTGCAGGTTTAGTCTTGTCTTGAAAGTGCATGTTGTGGTGTTGTCATGCATGCAGAGTGTTGTCAAGCATGCATGTGACATGGATGAAGGGAGACATGAATGTTTAGTCTTGTCTTGGAAGTGTATGATGTGGTGTTGTCATGCATGCAGAGTGTTGTCATATATCTAGGCTAATTTATATACAAAAGAGAATCCTCTGAACATATAATCCTTCCGTTTTACATTATAAACAAATTTTATTTTTTATTTATTGAACAATTAATGTATCTAATTTATATATAAATTAAATACATTAATTATTTAATAAATTAAAAACATAAAATTTTGTTCCAATACAATTTTTTTTTCAATATGATGAACTAGAGTTACATTAGATAAAATATAACAAATCAGAAAACATTTTGAACTCAGTTTAGTCTTGTCTTGAAAATGCATGTTGTGGTGTTGTCATGCATGCAGAGTGCAAGACGTTTACTGTAGCCATGTGTATACATTTATTAGTAAGAATCTCGTTGGTCTGCATAGAATCAGAGTGTAGACGTTAGGCATGCAGGGAATCAGAGTGCAGACGGTATGCAATCATAGTGTAGACGGTAGGCATGCATAATGTAGACGGTATGCATGCAGGGAATTAGTTACTGTAGCCAGAGTGCAGAGGATAGACAGACTGTTGTCTTGTCATGCAACTCACTTTGTAGGCACGCAGAGTGTTGTCTTGTCATGCAGCTTACTTTGTAGGCACGCAGAGTGTTGTCTTGTCATGCAGCTTACTTTGTAGGCACGCAGGGTTTTGTCTTGTCATGCAGCTTACTTTATTGCTATTAATACAGTAGAGAGATCTAAATTATTATCATATCAATTAGTAAAACAATCCCTCCAAACACAATTTTACTAAAACATTAGCTATGTCTCAAACATCACAATACATGATTAGTGCACATCTAAACGGTGAGGTTTTTGAATGTAACATAGCCGGTTATAATTTCAGAAATACTGATGTTACGAGATTTTTGATTGACAGAAGGTCAAATTTTTTACACTTGAAGTCAAGATTAGAAAAAAAAAACTGCAATGTGGTCTAGTTGGCCGAATAATATACAAAAATCCAGTGTTCTTTGGCGGGCATAGTGAATGCAAATTTTTCCCATTAAAGATCTGAGACGATGAAGATGTGCGTAACATGTGCCGCAGTCATGAGTATTCTGGTTTCTCAGATATCGTGTTATATGTTACGTTACAACAACAACTGTCTCAACAACTTGATTCTTCTCAAGTTTTTTATGAATCTGATGAGGAACACGCTGAAGTCAATGTCATTGATGAAGAAGAAGAATAAGCTGAAGTCACGGTTGACGACATGGTGAACAACGAGGAAGAGGGGGTTCCACTCGACCATGTTTATTGCCCACCTCAACACATGACAACTCTCGACTTAGGTGACGATGAACCCTCAACAGATGTTTTTTACAACCCGAACTACGCAACAAAAGGACTATTAAAAGAGGGTGACGAGTTTCGTACAAAATAAGATTGTGTCCAAACAATTAAACAATATCACATGGACTTATCAGTAGATTATAGAGTCGATCGAACAAATCCGATTCGGTATACGATTTATTGTCATAACGAGGTGTGTCCATTCCGATTAACAGCGTCTTTCAGGAAGAGAAGTGATTCATGGAAGATAGGGTCAATGGGTCCAGCCCACACTTGTATAATCTCGAATCCGATGAAGGACCATCGCAAGCTCAGCTCTCAATTAATTTGCGATGAGATTCTATCGGTCATTAGAGACAACCCGTCTTTGAAGGTGAGTACCATAATTGCACATATGGTTCAAAGGTACAATTACACTTCTTCATACCGGAAAGCATGGATAGCTAGGACTAAACCGGTCGAAAGGGTGTTTGGAAAGTGAGAGGAGTCTTACAAGGAACTTCCAAAATTCTTGGTGGCTCTTAAACAATACTCTCCAGGGACTGTTGCCATATTGGAGACAATGCCAGCGTATACACCAGACAGGACTTGCGTTGGTGGAAATGGAATTTTTCACAGACTCTTTTGGGCGTTTGAACCATGCATCAAAGGCTTTGCATATTGTAAACCTATAATTCAAGTTGATGACACATGGTTATACGGGAAATATAAGGGCACGCTACTCATGGCTGTGGCACAGGACGGGAACAACAACATTTTTCCAATAAGCCTTCACTATAGTTGAAGGGGAGACTGCTGGGGATTGGAGTTTTTTCTTAAAAAATCTTCGCTATTACATTTGTCCCCAACATAACTTATGTTTGATCTCTGATAGACACCCATCAATCGAAAGTGCATACAATAACCTTGATAACAGTTGGCAGGATCCTCCCTCGACCCATGTGTATTGCATAAGACATATTGCCCAAAATTTCATGCGGGAAATCAAAGACAAAACACTAAGGAAGAAGGTTGTGAACACATGATATGCACTAACAGAGCCCACATTCAAAGACTATCGTGACGAGATCAGACTAACAAACACAGATGCATTAAGATGGATTTATAATATTGATAAAGAGAAATGGACACGGGCATACGACAATGGGGTGCGATGAGGCCACATGATAACTAACCTCGTTGAATCAATGAATTATGTTTTAAAGGGAATCCAAAACCTACCGATAAATGCCTTGGTAAAGGCAACATATTTTAGGCTAGGCGCACTCTTTGATAACAGACATACGAAGTGGGGTTCAGTATTGCAATCTGGTCAGCCATACAGTAATAGTTCAACAACATTCGTGAAAGACGAAGCTGCCAAAGCCAACACACATGTGGCCACAATCTTTGCCTGTAATAAAGGTTGGTTCAGTGTTGCCGAGTCAATTGATCACAATGAAGGAAGACCTAGCGGATGTTACCGGGTTGAACTAGATAGGAGCTGGTGTGACTGTGGGAAGTTTCAGGCATTTCGTATGCCTTACTCTCATGTTATAGCAGTATGTTCGAAGGCGCGCCAGGACCCAACCAACTTTCTTTCTGCAGTTCACCAAGTGATATGTCTATGCAATGTCTATACATGTAGCTTTCAGGTGGTGGAAATGGAGGACTATTGGCCTCAATACAAAGGCGAAATTGTCTGGCATAATGATTTGATGTGAAGAAAGAAAAAGGGTCTCCCTAACAGCAAGCACATTCGAACGGAGATGGATACCGCAAACCAGATGGTAAGATTATGTAGTTCGTGTCGGCAACCAGGACACAATCGTACAAAATATCCTAACGTAGGATCAAGCACAAGATCATATTGTCTAATTTAACCGTGTCCCTTTAAATCACTAGCAAATTTCATTCTATTTAAAGCATACTTAACCGATTACAATTAGCAAGCAACATAAATTAAACAAACATAACTTAATATCACAATAAAATTCTGAAAATAACAACAACAAATCGACATAAAACAGAATAATGCATCAAGGTGTCTATGATATCACAACCATCAAAGTTATCTTCTTTGGTGTTAACATCATCACAAGGACACCAGCATCATTTTCCATTTTTCTCCATTCACGAGTAACTCCGTTTCTCCCTGACTCCTCGACCAACCTCTCAATTTTCCTAATCTTTTCACCTGCAGTAATATCTCCTTCTAGCCAGCGGTTCAGTTCCCTATGCAAATGCTCCAACGTCTGCGTATTCCACAGTAGCACCTTCATCGGAGGCTTTGTTGCTGAAAAATAAACTAGGACATTTCTTTTCATTAGAGGAAATGTTGGAAACGGTTCCTCCAATGACGATGATGACGAAGAACGTTGATTTAGATATGCAGACATTCTATACTTCACTCATAATTATTAAGATTTTAGTCTTTTGGTATAAATTATTGTGAAAAAATATATGCGTGTGCAATCGTATTTATAGAAAAATAAAATAGTTTGGACGCCAAATGCAATTCCTTAAATACCCTTACAAAATTTATATATTTTTTTCAACAAATACCAAAATTTAACAACAGGGATTTAAAAATATCAAAATTCAAAGATGACCTACAATTATATATTTATTATGTTTTAAATTATATATTACTTATATATTTAATATGTTTTAGAATTATATGTTATTACATATTTATTATGTTTTAAAATTTAAACCTATTTATATTTATTATGTTTAAAAATTATATACGAATTATATATTTATTATGTTTTAAAAATTAAACAAATATATCAAATATCAAAAATTAAAATTATATTTATTCTAAACCAATATAATGTATTTTAAACCCATTTTTATTATTTTATAAAACTAAAATTATAAACAAAACAAAATTAAAAGTAAAAAGAAAAAAAAAACTAATACAACTGATTCGCCAAATGGGCTGGCGAATATGTTGAAAAAAAAATCGAAATTTGACTTGATTCGTCAAATGGGCTGACGACTTGATGTTGGGTCCAATATTTTAGCCAAATCATTTGGCGACTGCATGTTGAATTGTGGCCACTGTAAAAAAATATTTTGAAAATTTATTTTATTTGATATTTTTTTAAAAAACATTGGTTAATTTAAAATAAATTCACAACTCTACAAGTTACACAATATTATTGTTAACTAATATATGCTATATTATTTGTTTATTATTATAACCTAAATTTATCAGTTCCAACATTAGAAGATCATTAAAAAAAATTCTAAGATACAAAGAAGAACATTAAAGTAAATATCTTATTAATAATGAATGAATAATTATATACGTTTACATTTTCTTTACATCAATTGAATCCAATGCCTACTATGAATTTAAAATAAATGAAATAGAAAAATAATGTTACTGAAAATAACATAAAAAGTATCAAATTAACCTAAGAACAAAAACTACGAATCTTCGTGAACAAGTGGACGTTCTCTCTATTTTAAGTTCTTGTTAGTGTGAGGAGATGTCAACTCTCGAAGCTTCCTCTCTTGTGAAAGTATTTTTGCAAACCTGAAAAAATTAAAGTTGATATTTAACTATTGAACATATATAAAAATGAATCATCTGAAAAAAAAATTGTTGATAACTATTGAAAACCTTCAATACCTTTTAAGAGCTTCTTGGTTGGTTTCAAGATTTTCAGTAGGCTCACACATGCCGTTCTCTAAATTGACCTTAGACACAGGTTTGTTCAATAACCTTTCTCCAATTTTGCATAGGTTTTCTAAATTCTCTTTGGTGGCAATATCAACGGAAGAGTCAATACCAGTCAATGTATCATCTTGTATTCGAAGATAATTATCTTGACAGTTAAGCGCTTGAGTGACAGTAGCAATATGAAAATCAACCATATCTCCGGAGGCTTGACTAAAGATGTCAATTAAGGGAGTGCAACCGCCATGAGTTAACCAATTCAATAGACCCCATTTTGCTGCCATTTTTGCATCAAATTTTTGTTCATTCTTTGGCGTACCAGTTCCCAATGAGATTATCAGAAAGCGACTATATTCCATGGGCTTGATGGCATAGAAGTCATTATTCTGATTAACTATCTGTTTGGTTACTTCATTCACTGCCACCAAAGTCTGGATCATCAAATTATCACCAAAAACAAATAAAACTAATTAGTAACATTCATTACAATATTATAAAGCTTAATTTTCAAAAACTGTTTTAAAATATATTAATATACCGGATTATTTGCACAAACACCACCGTCAATGAGGTTGAATTCATGTACGTTTCCTTCGCTGTCTTGGTTCTTGAAGTTGTAACCTGGAAGATAAGTGGGAGCAGCAGAAGTACTGATGCATATGTCAGAGAGTCGAGCATCCATGCATGGGGTTCTCTTGCTTTGATAAGTTGAAAAAATAATCGGTTGCATCGACTTTATGTCAAACGCGGGGATCACAATGTTGGTGAGAGTCTCATGCACGCGAGTTTCTCCAAGCTTCTCCCTCACCACACTGTGAAGGTATTTTCCATCATATTTTGGTCCTGCCAATGATCTAAACAATTTCCCCATAGAACCTAACATGTGCCTGCATATCATACAATATTATATAATTAAATCATTCATTTTTTTAATCTTGAGATTTAATAAGATACAATTATATTTAATTTATATGCATGCATACTTGTTTTGTGGGAAAATATTTGGACAGTGTTCCAAGTAAAAGGGTTTGATATCTTTAGCAGCAAAAAGTGGACGTTGTTTATCATTTGGAGCCGTTAACATGGCAGTTACAAGACCACCGGTACTTGTTCCTGTAATTACATCAAAGTAATCTGCAAGTCGTGCAGATTCACCATCCAATTCCTGAAGTTCTGATTCAAGGTACTCGAGTATAGTTGCAGGAATAAGGCCTCTAATACCGCCACCATCTATACTTAGAATTGTGACTAAGTTTCCATAAGTTGGAGGCTGAATTTGTAGAAGTGAGGATTGTGTTCTCTCCATTGTTGAAAGATATATGGAAAGTTGAAGTTTGTAGATATATTAAAGAAGAAAGCTTATGAAATATTAATTAATTGTTTTCACAAATAAAAAATGTTGCAAGAAAGTGACGAAGCTAGAATTAAATATATTTAGTTGATTGATAGATTGCATTCTATGAAGTTGTATTTATAATAGATTTTAGGTTGGAATGGGTATATTAATTTCATGGTAAATGTGTTGAATGCTTACCAAGTCTAGCAGTAATGAAGGCTAAGTACGCGTGGAATGTTCTGCCTAATTTGTGATTTTATTATTAGTTAAGACAAAACAAAATGGAATAATCAGTGTTATGGACTTTTAGAATATCTTAATTTCTCACGAATCATTTCTACGAAGGTGGGGTTCACAAATGAGTGGTTCATCATTTAACGAGAACAAATTTACATTTGGTCAATTTGAGATTTTATATTAAAAAGTCACAAATTAGGCAGAATAAATATTCGTTTTCCTTTTGTGTGGTGATTTAAAACTATGGCTTTGACTCCTTCTATTTGGGAGATTCTGTCCGTTAGAACATAGAAAATCTTCAGATAAGATCATACGTTAGTAAGTTCACACTTTGGGAAGTTCATAGTTTGGATTTATAAAAACACTTAAAATCTACATACTTTGTGAACTGCGTTATCAAAATTTAACAATGGTCAATATGGTTTCTTCTCTGCCTTTGATTTGGAAAATTGGACTGCCGGCATTTTCTTGGCAACTTCTGCAAGTGCGATACATTTATGGATAAGAAAACATGTTCAAGTGGAAGATTATTAATGATTCGGATGGAATTTTGTGTACTATTTTAGGAATTCGATTGAGTCAGCCTAGCTCTAATTTGTTTGTTACATGTAGTTTCGCTTCCAATGTCTAGGATATAAACTTTAGGTGGCTAGGGGTGCAACAGTTGGAGCAAAATTGGTTTGTTATATATCACTTATGTTTTAATAATAATAAAGTATTTAAAAAACAATTGAGTATAATAATAGTTGTTCAAGTGTGCAGGACTATAGACTAAAATTTCTAGAAAAAACTAAATATTGATTTTGTTAGTGAACATCTAAAAGAGAAGTTTAAAGATCAGACTCTGAAGGATCAGAGGCTGAAGACCAGACTCTGAAGAAGCCTACTTCTGAAGATCAGACTCTGAAGAGGTCAATAATTCGAAGATCAGACTCTAAAGATTTCAACTTTTGAAGACCAGTCTCTGAAGAAGCAAACTTCTGAAGGTCAGAATCTAAGGTCAGTCAAAACACAAAGAAGAAGGTGACTCTGATTGGTCACTATCAGACTCTGTGGCTAGTTTTGTCTTCTTTTGATCACATGAAGACCTAAGTTATTTCTCATATAGATATCTGGGATGTATCTGATAATTCCTTTTCAAGCAAAGGAATTTCAAATGGCCTTTCAACAACATTAACCATTTGAAGAAACATCTAAACGTCTCTATTCAAGTTTCTCAAATACTCTCCTGTGCGAAGATCCCCAACAACTCTTTTCCTTCTCTATATAACGATCTGAAGATTTGAAGAACCATAATGAACTATTGACATTCAAAAAGCTGTTACTCTGTCAAAATAAAAGTACAAGTTTAACTTATGATTTTTTATTCGTGTATAACTTAGAAACCCCTAAGTCTTAAGAGTCTTCTTGTATTGTATGTTGTCTACACCTATAAATGTATATCACGTGTATTACCCCAAACAATATTTTATATGTTAGGCAGATTGTTAGAAGTCTCTTACTTAGTCTTTGAGCATTTGAAGTCTCTTTCTTATGTGCTTGAGCATAAAAGTATTTTGCTTGTGTGCTTGAGCATTGGAAGTTTATTGCTTGTGTTCTTGAGCATAAAAGTCTCTTACTTTGTGTTTGACGATTGGAATTCTCTTGCATGCGTGTTTGAGAAAATTGTAATCCACTTGCATGTGTATTTGAGAAAATTGTAATCTTATGTGATTATAGTGAAAATCTCGTGTAAGTACAATGACACTGGACTATTCTAGGTTTGTAAGAGGAACCATGATAAGTTTGTGCGTCTCCTTCTTTCTTTCATTCCTTATCTGCTGCTTATCACTCACCTCTGATTAGTTCAGATTATATACTTTGTGATTCGAATCTTACTAGAGTTTTATAAATAGATAAAAGTCTAACACAATTTAACCCTCTTTCTTGTATTTTTCTCATCTTTCGTTGACATCAGAGTATAGTCTATGCTAAACACTTAACAGTGGTGAAGAAAAGACCCTGAGAGAAAACATATTAAATCATGTTTGGAGTATCTGAGCGTGATAGTGGTACTCATAATCATGTTTCTTTTAATCATGATTATAGTACTTTTGAAAAGAAAAAATATATTTCTAGACCTCTAACTTTTAATGGAGACTCTACAGAGTTTGAATGGTGGAAGAGCAAGATGTACACTCATATCATAGGTCTTGATGGTGAGCTGTGGGATACTCTTGAGGATGACATTGATATTCCAGTTAATGGATTTGGTATGGTGTTACAGTCGGTTTTTTGTGGCGTGACCACTACCGCTTCTGGTGCTACTTTCTGATTTCTATATTTATCCTATGAAGCTTAAGAGGAAGGGGAAGATATCTTAAACTAAACTTGCGCACAAGTATTTTCTCTACAAATGCGAAGAGATCTGGAATCGGGGGTTGGTTATACAAAGGGAAACTATTAACACCCAGAGTATCTATAGTAATCTATAGGAACCTTCATTCACATTTGTTTTTACTATTTGAATTACTTTCTTGAGTCTATTTGCTGTCAGGTGGGGAAAGTTTCTCCTTTGGAAGGGTGAGGAAATGTTTTTGTTGTTTTAGGATTTTCTATTATTTTTTGGAAAGGTATCTGGACCTAAGGTTTTTTATTAGTGCGCTCGCTAATATTTCACAATCTTATGCCTATGTATTCTCAAAAAAAGGAAACTGAGAAATCAGAGTGTTCGTAGTTCCTCCTGTTCTATGGGAGGAAAAATGTTTTGTGTCTTGTTCAAAGCCCAAGATTGAAGCTAAAAGAGAAATTTGTGTCTTGTTCAAATCCCAAGAATGAAGCTAAAAGAACTTTTGTGTCTTGTTCAAATCCCAAGATTGAAGCTAAAAGAGTTTTTGTGTCTTGTTCAAAGCTCAAAATTGAAGCTAAAGGAGTATTTGAGAGAGAATTTATCATCTCTAAAGGGAGATGTCTCACATATTCATCATAATTATTGAGGTTTTGTTTATAAGGGAAGTTGCTTTAACTGGGATGTGTGATCTAGCAATGCCACATCTTCCTTTATAAGAGAATTGAAATGTCATGAAGGAAGAAGCTTTACCTTAGTGTAGAGAAATGATATTTGTTCTTCTATGAATCTTTGCATGCTAAGAGAGGGACATTGTCTTGGATGTGTTGCAGAGGCTTGCCACTAATTACATCACTTAGATGAAAGAGAACTTTGGCCATGATAAAGGAAGGACTCCAGCTTGGATTTTGAATCAACAAGTGTGCCACTTACATCAATCATCTGGAAAAAGGTTTACTTGTTTGTTTTGAAATGTGATGTATAGAGGAAATATCCTCCTACAAAGAGGACTCATAGTCTCATCTGTGGGGATGTTGAATTTTGTGCCTTGATCAAACCCCAAGATTGAAGCTAAAAAAGGGATTGAAAATTGACTCAACTAAGTGAGTATTATATCTGTTGTCATACCCAAAATTTCACCCTTTAGATTAGTAGGTTCATTTTGCATTTCATCTCATTCTGCATTGCATTGTAAATTAATCACTAACCAGTTTGCTCAGTCTGTTGGTTTTGCAGGAAAATCACACTGTGTGCAGTTTAATTGGTGAAGGGCGAAACAATCATTAACTTGCGGCCTGCTGACAATTCATGAAACCAAGTCGTCATCAGGGGTTCCTCAAGTGATCAGGGTTTCCATCTCCGAGTCTTGTGATTTATTTGAGGATGAGCTAAATTTTACGGTAGTTTTGACGTCAGATTTCTCGTGACACGTTACATCTTATTCAAGAGCCGAGATTTAGTCGTCAGTTAGGGTTCAAAAATGTTGTTTGATTCCTAAACCATATGGAGCTGAATGAGTTGAGATATTAGTAGATTCAAGATAAATCGGTGCGAGGATTTGCTTTGAAGAATTTATTATGACAAACATACATTTTCCTACTTTCTGCTGGTCAACAGTCGATTTTAGAGAAACAGTGGAGTTTCGGTGGACGGTCGAATTCACAATGAATATCGGTTGGTTCAATCATAATTATTAGTCGAGTTGGTCGGGGTTACCAAGTTACATCGTCCGAGATACAATTTGAATTTTTGCAATGTGGAGGACAGTTTGTTTTGCCGTTTAATCGGAATTCTCTGCTTGTCCGTTCAAGGCCATATTCACCGTTAATATCAGGTGAACTTAGTCGGAGAAATTTAATCAGACAGATTTAGTCGGGTAGATTGAATCAAATGAATTTATTTGTGTGGATTTAAGAAGATGAACTGAATCGGACGAATTCATTCTGACGAATTTAATTGGAAGAGCTTAATCGATTAAATTTAATTAAATGAATTTAGTTGTTTGAGTTTATTTGGAGGAATTTAGTCGGATAAATTTAATTAATTTAATTTATTCGTTAGAATTGATCGGATGAATTATTTCGAGAAATTTAATCGGGAAAGCAAATTCAAGTTAATAAGAAAATAGAATTTTATTTATTCTATATGTTTTATTACAATATTACAAAGATTAATTTCAATTACAAAATAAATTCCTAAATTCTAAAAAGTCATAATTTTCCCAAACTTTTCTTCACGCCAATTCTTCGAGCTTCGACTTCTTCGAACCTGCAAAGAAAAACTAACAACAGAGCAAGCAATTTTTAATTGGTTAGAAAATTAGTTTTTGGTCGATTCTGATACCCTCAGTTAGTTATCATCATCGGGTACGTCGGAGGGTAACGGAATATTCCTCCGCCAGCTCTCG